CCTAATTACACTACCTACGAATGAACTTTATAGTTTTTAAACTACTCCCAAAGCCTTCAGTATTAATGTAAATTGCGTTTTTATGTTGTTTTCAGTATTTTTTAACAGGAAATAACAACAAAGACATCAACAACGACATATGTGTATAAACGCTAATCTTTACAAACAGAGCCAAAGTAAACACAAGCAACATAACTATAACATTAACAACAACATCACCAGTTCGAACAAGATTGAAAGTGACAACGCAACAACAACAAAAACCACAAAAATGGTGCTACAAATTTCAAATCTCAAATTCACGTGCTTACGTTCAATTTTTTACGCTCAGCTGATCATGCTGATGATGATATTTGCAGGGCAATCTGAGGGTCAAGCTAATCAAACTGAACGTAAGTTATGATGACAATTATGTTGATGACGAGGAGATGATGTTGATGATGAAGATGATGCTGATGATGAGGATGATGTTGATGAACAAAACGAAATGTTGATGACGAGAATGCTGATAATGATAAGATTAAGATGCTGAAGATTTTGGTGTCCAATATCATAATAATGAAATCATTGAGTGATTTTATATCAACTGAAGATATGTTATTACTAAAATCACTGGCACATTTTGCTACAACTACTTTCAGTGTTGTGACTAGCACAACAACAACAACCGCTTATTACCTTTACAAGAGATTATTGCCGAAACAGATTATATATTTGTCGCTTGAGTTGATGGTGTTGATCCATTTTGTAGTGATAAAAATTGGCAATAAACACAAATACATTATACAAACATATATATATATATATATATATATATATATATATATATATATATATATATATATATATATATATATATATATATATATATATATATATAGAGAGAGAGAGAGAGAGAGAGAGAGAGAAAGAAAGAGAGAGAGAGAAAGAGAGATTTATTAAATAACCGTCATGTGAGAATTTATTATATGCAACGTTAAAACCTTAATAAAAACTTGAATTTGAATAGACAGATTTGGTTAGACGTGATAAAATCATTTTCTTCGTTTTCTTTTTGTAAAAATTTACTAGTGATCAATTAGAAAATGTCTACAATTTGATCCATTCTAATGCAGTTACTGTAGTTTGCTCCCAGATTAATATACTGACCTATTTACTGACGACTTTTAACTTAAAAACTGTACGCTGTGACAATAAGCAATGTTTGGAATGCAAAACTTTCTCTGCACGTTGTAGCGGTTGTTGGTTTGAATATATATTTTTTAAAGCCATATTATTCTTGAAATAATTGATAGTTTTGTTTTAATTAATTACGCTCAGTATCACACGATTAAATACACACATACACACACACAATCACATACAAACACACACACGTACACACATTCACTCATACACACACAATTACATACACACAACAATAACATACACACACAATCATATACACACAATATCACATATCCACGACCCCATATACACACAATCACACACGCAAAGTGCATAACTGCGTATCATGGTGGAATAATAAATAATTTTTTTTTACGTGTACGTATACAGACGTCTGTGTTTTAATGGCAGCTAATTGGTAATCTAACATGATGCGTTGTTCTGCAGTTATTACGTTATCTATATTATTTGAATTAAAGAGAACCGTTTAGCATTAGCTAATTTGGGCTTAAATGATTGCCTGATATATTTCGGATACATTCATTTGAGCAAACATTGATTATAAGATATATACATTAATTTATTTAATCACACACGCTCGCACATACGCTCGCACACATACACACACGCACGTATACATAACCACATCATACATAAATACAACCACAAAGGTCATACATATACACTCATACATTCACACACGATATATATATATATATATATATATATAAACATGGCATGGATCATCTGATGATATTTCTGTGAAATTGGCTATGCTTTATGGCTTCTCATCTATGGATTATTTGCGCCCACACGACCCTAATCATGGAGGAATAATTGTATATTTTAAGAATGTTTTCAAGGTTAAAAAAATAGAATTACCAGTGGTAAATTCCTTTGAATCACTTGCTATTAAATTTCGGTGCGGTAAAAAAACGATTCTGTTATTGGCAGTTTATCGACCGGGTTCTGTACCAATTACTCCTGCATTTTTGATGAGCTTACATCACTCTTGGTGCAGATTTCGTTATTGGCGGACTATGTCATTCTTACGGGGGATTTGAATGTTCATTTGGAAAAGGTTGGAGATACTCATTCAATTCGGTTGGTAGATGTTTTTCATGCATTTAACCTTGAAAATAGAGTTGAGGAAACTACCCATGTACATGGTGGTATTTTGGATCTAGTGGTATCCTCAATGGAATTGCCTGTGTCCTCATGTACCGTAGGTCCATATGGTATTTATTCCGATCATGGTCTGGTCCAAGTATGTTTTTCGATTCCGCTAAATTATTTTGTTAGAAATAAAAGACTGGTTCGTTCGTGGAATTGTGTGGATTTTGATAAATTTGCCGCGTTAATGATAAACTCGCCTATTAATGGACCTTTTGAATCAGATGATCCTGAATACTTATTTGATCTTTACAAACAAGAAGTTAAAATATTATAGATATTGTTGCACCGAAACACTATGTGATGACTAGAAATAATGCTGCTTCGCCTTGGTTCGATGAAGAGTGTAGGTAGACTAAGCTACGCTGCAGAAGACTTGAAAGAGGTTATCGACTTAATCCTGGGGATGTTAGCAAGAAAAGGTTCGTTGATGCTATGTTGAAGAAACAGTCATTGCTCTTAGGAAAAAGGAAAGCCTACTGGAGAAATATGATTGAAATAAATGGCTCCAATCCAAAGAAACTCTGGTTTTAACAGAGTTTTATGCAAGATGAATTCTGTTGACTCGCTTAATATGTTAGATGAGTTAAATTCTGATGATTTTGCTCAATTTTTTAAAGATAAGGTTGACAAGATACTAGAGACGATGCCTTGTATCAAAGAGCCTATTGGTTCAAACAATCGGATGAGTGAATGTGCTGAACTTTCATAATTTCAGTGCTGTTCCAGTGATGAGATTCGTCAAATTATTTTGGATTCACCTACAAAGTCGTGCCCACTGGATGATTTGCCAACTAAAATACTTACAAAATACGTTCATCTGTTTTCCCGTTTTTTACTGTTTTTGTAAATGCATGTTTAACTTATGAGCATTTCCCGATGGCTTTTAAATATTCAATTGTTCCGATGTTAAAAAGGCAGACACTAGACAAGAATAGTTTATCAAGTTATAGACCGGTGTCAAATTGAACATTTTTGTCAAAAGTTATTGAACGAATTGTCCACAAACAGCTAAATTGTTATTTAAATCATAATGATCTGCTACCAAAATGTCAGTCAGGATTTAAAAAATTGCTATTGATGATCAAAATATCTCAATCTTGGCATTACTTGATATTAGTGCAGCCTTTGATTGTGTTAATCACGAGATTTTACTTGGAAAGCTACGTCATTGTTTTGGAATTTCAGGTGTTGTTCTTATTTGGTTCGAATCATATCTCTGCGCGAAAACAACCGGTATTACGCAGAGATGTTTTATCATCTGTCCAGGAAGTAAAGCATGGTGTACCACAAGGTTCAGTACTTGGATCGCTGCTGTTTTTGCTATACACTGCTGACGTTTTTGACATCATTGATTCATTCAGGTTCAAGCATCATGGGTTTGCAGATGACATACAAATCATTGTCAGTGATCCAGCTACTTCATTTCAAGAGCTTTTATTGTATTTTATTATTTTTGTTGGTCTGTTTGTTTTCCAAGTTTATCCTTTTTACTTTTTGTTTTTTCAAGAGCTTTTATTGTATTTTAGTATGCACGTTGGCACGATTGCATGTATGAAAAGTTAGCGTGAGAATTATTTTATGTGTACACACTTAGTGACTGAATGGATCAGAGTATGTATATATTTGGGTTTACTCATATATAAATAATTTTACGTTGATGTATGGTTATATGTGATTGTACGTATGTATTAATATTGCTGTGTCCATGTTGTTCATGGAGAAATGTATTTATGTGATATTTTTAGAAATTTGTTTATGAAATATATTTATTGTGAAGTTTTAACATGCAAGAATGCACTTGTAGAGGCACATGTAGATTTCTTCGCTTTATAAGTGTGGTTAGACGTTGCTTGTCTAGAGTCTGAAAGCGCTCACTCGTTCGCAGTCACTCATTCATTCTCAATCGTTCATTAATTCTCAATTTTTTCATATACTTGTTCGATCTACTTTGCGAAAATCGATGATTTCGTCTTTTCTGTAAACCTTAATAGTTTAATACCTGAAAACTTCAATAAACAAAGAGATGGCTAAAATCAGAATCAAAACGGGAAAACAAAAAGGGTGCAAAACAGGAAGAGAAACAAGAAGAGGTTTCTTTTGCAACGGGCGAGGTAATTATAGCCTCTGCCTTCCTCAATGCTTTATACATCGTCTTTGTCCTTCATATATACTAAGTGTTTGTCTCTGTTTAACGTGGTGAATATCGATACTGCCCAGCATGCATTGGCTCGTCTTTGTTTCTACTCGTACTCTGTCACTATTTTCGGTTGACCGTTGTTAAATTGCACGGGATTAATAGGTAATTATACTGCACAGCCGTATCGCTTGCGCTCGTGTCTGTTTTTTTTAATATACAGCTGAGACGGTTCTAAATATGATAATAATTGAATAAATTGAATAAATTAATAAATAATTTAATACTTTAATAAATGTCGATTTCACAAATATAAAAATAATAAATACAAACTAACAAACCGAAAATATTTTGTAATTTATTTTAAATACTGTCCGTCCAGTCAAATTCACTCACGACTTTATTACATATCTCATTTATATTTAAAAGTTTGTCATTTTTTACATTAATCCATACATTTTTCAATCAACATAAAAACTACCGCTAATTGGAAATTTTTGTCATCACTCAATAAATCAAGAGCATGTCTTTTAACGTTTTATGTGTATATTCAAATGATTCATACAGCGACACGTGCCAACACATTATTGCATACAAAAGCAGAAAAGACATACGAACAAATACAAATAGACACACTGTCGCAACAGGATGCCAAATGAAAGACTTAGCAATATTGATGGACACATCGGGCAGCTTTGCTACCGGTCAGCAAATTAGTCCCTTCCGAGCCATGAGGAGGTTCGCGAAAAATCTAATCGGTCGGTTGGATTCAGGCTGGGATTCGGAAGCTCTCGTACATTTCAGTGAAAAAGCTGAAGTCGTCTTCAACTTTACAACTTTTTCGACCAAAGAAGAAATGTACCAGGCTATCGACAATATCCTACAATTCAACGAAAACACAGACATCGCAATGGGCCTGAGGTTAAAATTGTGAAGTGTTTTGATTTTTTTAGTTTTGAATTAAGTTTCGTACTCTTCGTACAAATACAAAACGACAGACAATGAATATAAACCATCCAATCAACTAATAAGTCATAGCTGATGATAAAATGTAGTTTATTTAAATATGACAAATCAATCGATAATCCGCTTAATTCTATACTAATGAAATAAAAACCAGCCCTACGAAAAATAACATGAACA